TTTTTTTTTGGTTGCAGCCATCATTGTTGTTTGGCGGCCCGGGCTGGGGATTCAAACCCGCCACCTTAGATGTATGTGGCTGGCGCCTTAATCGCTTGAGCCACAGGCGCCGAGCCGAAAGCAGATCTTAAATGTGGTCTGTCCTTGTGGTGGTTAAAATTAGAATGCTAGGGAAAGCTTACATTCTTGAAAATGGAAAGACTATTTGTGGAGCTATAGTGGAAAAAATTGATGAAGCCCCGTTTTGTTGGAAGCTTAAGTTGGTCATAATTACTCTGTCTGAGAAACTTTTAGTATTTAAATTGTGTTCGTTCCAAGTAGCAAAAAACCCAATTATCTGTATAAATAAATACATATCTGAAAGGTTATGATGTTACCTAAACAGTCCTTACCCCTAAATTACTTTACTGTCCTCAGTATCTGACTTTTATAACTTATGGTTGAGTCATACCATTCTTCCCATAAACTTCAATTTCAGTATTGTTGCTTGATTGCCTCAGTAATGATACTGCAAAATGCATTGTAAAATGGATATAAGCCAAGGGTTATTAAAGATAACCCTCACTCTCTGGAGTGCTGGGGTATTTGGGAGAATTAAAAGTGAATTTAAGGATTGGTGATTTGATTATGCATTTTGGTTATTGAATATTTACCCTGTGATTGAGACTTGACTGGATATGAGGTAATAAAATATAATAGTACTCTGGAAGCAGCCTACCTGGGGTTGCATTCCAGCTCTGTCACTTCTGCTGTATAATTTGGGCAGGTGTAACCTTTCTGTATTTTAGTGTCTTCACATACATTTATGGATTAAACGTGTTAATGCGTGTAAGGTGATTAGAACTGGGCCTGGTATGCAGTGAATGTTGAATGCATGTTTGTGGTTATCATGACTTCTCATCTGACTGGAACAAGAAAATCTTAAAGTACAGCAGCTCTGGTCTTGGCTTAATGGAGTAAGTGCTTGGCTGAAGGAGGATTTGGGGGCAGTGCCCAGGGTCCCCCCCCCCCTTGGTTATGTTTGCCTTAGTGAGGTGGCTCAGGGTGATAACCAAGGTTCCTTTAGCACTTTCTCAGAGTCTACTTCTAGGTGTCAAAAATAAGGATGCTCTGCAGCAGTGGATAACTTAACTACTTAGCCAGCAGCTATCTGTGTGGGAAAATATTTTCTTACAGGTATGAAGGTATGATTTTGTTAGCCTACCCCATCATCATCTTTGTCTAGGAGAAGGGGGCAGCCAGCAAATACGGTGACACAGAGCCTTTCCTTCTATTCCTCCTGGGAAATGTATTTCTAGCAATGTCGTATGTCTTTGACTTTCTTTGTTGTCCAGGTCCCTGGGGATTGAGGGTGAACATCATCTCCTTTTGTTGTATGTGCTATTGTGCTAGGACTTGACAAGGGGAGTAAAAACATTGTATTAAAGTATCAATCTCTTTCAGTGGTTGCTAGTGTGAGTGCTAGCTGTCTCAAACTGTTGGCATTTGGTCTGTAGGAATTAGCATTTTCTTTTCTTTTTTCTTTTTTTAAGATGGGGTTTCACTTTGTTACCCTGGGTAGAGTGCCGTGGCACGGCATCATAGCTCACAGAAGCCTCAAACTCCTGGGCTCAAGC